AATTTTTGTGGAACATTTTTGCTGCTCTAATTTTTTTTTAGTGAAATAGAACAGCAATCTTCATGACTTAAGAGACTTTAGTTAGTTTTGCTAATTTAACAACGTAAAGGTTATTCTTGAATCTTGATAAAGCTTTTGTTTTCCAAAAACTTCCAGAAGAGTTTGCCATTTCATACAGTTTGAAAGACAATGGTTTTCGTATGTGCATATAATTTTTTGTTTCTAAAGAATCATCATTCCATCATCACATGTGATGCGATCAAGCTAAATGAGTCGTTTGTAGGGAATTTTCATTTGGAGATTCAGGCCAAAATAGGTCCACTTCATCACATCTCTTGGTCACACCTCTTGGTGTTCCAACTTCGTTATTTTTTTAACTAAAGATGGTATCAGCATGCGGTTTTCACAGCAGTAATGCTGAGATTGTGCCCTTTTCAAATCTGTAATAAAAAACAAATTGACCAGGGTCGACAAACGACTCATGTAGCTTGATCGCTTTCATATTTTAATGCATTAGTCACTGGTCCTTATTCATGATGTAAAAGCAAAATTATTTTGTCTTCACTTTTTTATTACTTAGACTGGCATAACCATGTGTCCCCTTCATTCTTTGAGCAAACGTTAATAAATTAGATATCCAAAAATTGGACGTCTGAAGTGTGTACTGTTGGCTTAGTCCGTGACATCATTAACAAACAGTTACATTTATAGGAATAGGGGTGTAAACCTTTTTCATGATACAATTGTATTAGTTCGATCAAAACATGATCGAAACTGGTAAAGTGAATTGTAAAAATATGTAAAATTGTAAATATTTATTCCTATTGAATCTGATAGCCTGAACAACAAGTGGGTAATATTGAAAAATTGAGTCTGTTTTTAAATCATCCATAATAAACTCATTTTAGACAAAGAAACCTTTAGAAGGATTATTGACAGCTTTTCATTTTCTTTGCAAGGTTGACACCAAAACAACAATGCTCCTTTGGGAGAGTTACTTTTTAAAAGAATTTTTCAAAAACCTAAGTCAAGTCATCAAAAAATATCTCATTTTGCGATTGCATATCAACACTGTTTACAGTCTTCAAATAATCATGAACATTCCTTTAAAAATGTGAAAATGAGTATCACGTGTATAAGATACCATACAATGCAGTATTTGGGTTTAAAGATTTCCAAATGGGACTGACAGGAATAACTATAATGATCTATATGTTGCATTGTAATCTAGTCATCTATATGTCATGCATATATTTGCATATATTCCCTTTGCTACAAAAATTTGAGCAAAGATCCAAAGTCTGTTATTTTACCAATCAGCATCTGGAACGTTCTAAAGGTACCAGGGGCATAACTGGGTTTAGCTTCTAGGGGGCACCTGGGGGCTCACCAAGTTTTTGAGAGGGCACTGAAAGTAACGTATACATTTTTGTGTGTGCAATTAAAGATTTTTAATGGGATGCACATCCCCCATATTTACGCGACTGAAAGGTACACAGAAATATGGAATTCTAATATCACATCAGGTTTAACAGTACATTTTTACAACTGACACTAGTTACGAACAAAACAAAAAAAGGTTTGAATGGTATCATAATGGGTCCTAGCTCTATGATGGTATCAACCCCCTTTAATTGCCTAATGTTGCAGTCCACTCTTTTCAGAGTAAAATGAAATATAAAATGATTTTGTTATGCCTGTTATTTTGAATATTTTATGATGATAATTCAAAGTCACAGGACGTTTGTGCATCGCGTAACATATCGATACAGTCCGCTTGACATAGGCTAATAGCGCTCACATAATTTACAACGTAAAAGCATAATAGATGTCGTGTCTAGGTTTCATTATATGCACATGACAATGGGTTACCGAAGACTCGATATAGAAGGCGCCTGCTGAATGGTCAGAATATCGAGGTCAATATGCAGTCTTGTTTTGCATTAATTAATCGCCCAATCTGATGACATATCATAGATCCTATGTCTTTTGAAATGTATGAACTTACCTGTACATGGAAGTACATTGGGGAATCTGTTCTTGTTTTTGCAGACAGGTTTCTTGGCTTCCTCACAGTTGACTGCCACTGACATTTCATTTAGCACCTGAAGTTTAAAGTAAACAAATTGACAACGCTTATTACAATACTGTTTCTCTTTCTAACTCGGACTTCAATTACAATTAACAATTGTTGACTAATGTGATGTGGGAGCAGTGGTGTATCATGAGGGGAGGGGGAGGGGAGGGGATGGGGGGGGGGATGGGGGGCACCTTGTCCCCTGCCCCCAGCGGATTTTTTGAAAGATATTTTTTTAGTAACTATTTCCATAAATGGTTAGAGAGTTCTTACACGAAAAAAAGAAAGAAACCAAGCTCAAAAATCATTACAATGAGCCATGAAAATCAGCATATATTTTCCAGTATGCATAATAATGGTCAGTTTTGAAGAGCGCCCCCATTTGGATAATGGGTACCAGCCCGCCCCCCTCCCCTTTTTTGGATTTTACGAAGGCCAAGTGTTCGGGGATGTGTGAGTGCGGTTGCCCCCTGACATCAAAAGCTGGATGTGCCACTGTGTGGGATATGACGTTTTTAACACCCAAGGGCTGCATTTCGCCTCGGGTGCTATGTACATGTATGGCCAACACATTACACACTTGGGCACAGGCTGCATTTTGCAGTCCATGTCCAGTACGCACATCACCCATAATGAACTCACTTTCGATGCAAGAAACCTTTAAAAGGATTATTTACATGTTTTTGTTTTCTTTGCAAGGTCGACACCAAAAGAAACAATGCTTCTTTGGGAAAATCTGTTACTTTAAAAGCATTTTTGAAAAACTTAACCCAAGTCATCACAAATATCTTATATTGCGATCCCATATCAAATGTTTGAATTGTAATCATTCATGCACAGTTTAAACACTGTTTAAACATGAAAATTCCTTTGGAAATGTGAAAAGGAATATTACGTGTATAAGATAAGACTGATAGGAATATTTAACTTGTAATGTTCTATATGTTGTATTGTAATCTAGTGAGTGTTATGCATACATTTGCATATATTCCCTTTGCTACATGAATTTCATACAAATGTACAAACATGTACATGTAGGCCTACAGTTCAACATATTACACATGTGTTAAATTCACATTTCCGCTTCAGTGTAACACAGTGACTGGAACAGGCCCTTGGTAAATCTATTGTTACCAGAAACTGGGCCTTTGAAGGGGTTCACAAAATACCAATACCTGTTGACTAGGCAATGCAAGTTCAACTGTGTGACCTGTGATCCATTGCAGTCTGGTGTATTTATAGAATAGGGAATTTACAGGCAGTGAGCAATGCCACACCCTACAGACATTCAAGTCGATCCAGTGAGAACCTGCCATCATTAGTTACTGCAAAATATTATTCCAGCAGTTTCTTCATCAAACAGCCAAATTGATTGCAGAAATATCTTCTGACATAACTCAGGTATGTTTAGTTGAGAATAAGCTTGACAAATGTAACCACAATTGGCATAGGGATCTGTGCAGACATTTGACTACCAACTTCAGTTTCCTTCTCAGATGCACCATGATCAGTGTGTTTAACCAGTCTGAAAAAAAATCATGACTTCACCAAATGGGAAAAAATGAGTTTATTATGCATTCTATCAACTATCATTGGATTAGACGTTTTTGGGTGTTTTTTCCCCATGTATTAGAAAAGCTACACTTCCATTAAGGCCACACTCTTTTTCTTTTCTGCTGACTTTTTTATTTTGTAGGCCAAGTTGAACAAGATAAAATTGAAATGTTTAGCCACTTTTTAATTTTATATTTTCTCCGTACTTGTGATTATTGCAGTGGCAGTGTTGGAACAAAAAAAAGCATGAAATTTACCTTATCACAACACAGCCAGAGAAGTGTCAGTAATTTCTCTGGCCATACATTGTCTGGGTTTTGTTGAGATACGGCAAACGCATGGGCAATGCCCATGGCTAGCAATATGGTACGAAACTTTGCTAACACGAATGTTTACGTGAATGCAACTTCATAAAAAGTATAAAAATACTTTGGTGAAGGGCAAAACCAAATATTGAATATTGAAAAAGTATATTGACTGAATGGTAAGTGGCAGCGCGCTTGTGCCTTGGTGTAGAGCATATTGTGCATTCAGCCTGCTCATGACCTGGCAATTTTTGCCTAATTTTTCCTCTTTATTTTTTTTACTTAATTTTTTTAATATGAGAAAGGTACACCATGTAATAATAAACTTTTTTTTGTAAACATTTGTGCCTTTGGAGGAATTTTTTTGGGGAAAAAAATATCAAATTTCAGTTCCTTTAGATTTTGCTTTTTTTTGTTTACAGGTGCACCCATTTATGTTTTACAAATCGAACAGTGCGTCCGTAAAACAAAATGTACAAAAAAAAAGAAAAAAAGAATCAGACCCATTTGACCAAACCACATAAGAACTAATGATTCATGATTTAAGATGCAGGTCACCTTGTTCTTCTAATTAACAGGTCCAAGAATATTAACAATACATGCTGAACTGAAGGACCAAGATGGCATCTAATGTTACAGCTCAATCAGTGCTGGAGAAGATTAATGTGGATCATCTGCAATGCTCCATCTGCACCAACCGTTTTAGGCAGCCCAAACTGCTGGACTGTTTGCATAGTTTTTGCCTGCAATGCCTCCAAGAGCTCAGTAAGAGCCAAGATCCTAGTGGTACAAAGCTGGCATGTCATCTGTGCAGACGTGAAACCATGTTGGAAGGGTCTGGGGTTGCTGATCTCCCTAATAACTTTGCATTCAGTGCCCTGGTGGAGGAAGTTACAATGCAGGAAAAGCTACTGGAAGGTCAAGGGTCAGAGATCAAATGTCAAAACTGTGATGAGGAGAATCAGGCTATTTCAAGATGCATGGACTGTGATCATTTCCTGTGTCAAGAATGTCAAAAGGCTCATGAACGTATGACTGTCATGAAATCTCATAAAATCTACACAATGGCTCAACTCCGATCAGGAGAGATTGTCTACAAGAGTAAACTAAGAGAAGAAGTTCCCAAATGCAGCAAGCATCCAGAGCAGAATCTCAATGTCTACTGCAACACCTGCGAGCAGTTGCTGTGTACATCATGCACTTTGTTAGAACATAGAAATCCAAAACACAGCCTCATTAGCTTACCTGAGGCTGCGGAAAAATGCAAAGATCAAGTTGCTAAGCTGGTGGCTGCAGTTGACAAGAAAATGTCAGCTGTGAGTTCTGCCATAAAAGATACAAATGAGTCCCACGAGACATTAGATGTCACATATGCAACCACCAGAGACAGAATCTCCAAAAAAGCTGCCAAGGAAGTTGCCCGTATCAAGCAGCAGGAGCAAGAACTTCTACAAGACTTGGAAAAAAACTACAACTTTCGAATTAAGACGTTTGAGAAAGCAGAGGTCAACAACAGCAAAATGGTGGCCCAGGCACAGCACACTCTGGGGGTGGTGAACCAACTCATGACTCAAGAAAGGTATTGCGACATTCTCAGTCTTCGTCAGAATGTTGTGGGTAATCTTCAAGATCTCATGAGAGAAAAGCTAGAGACAGTGTCTGACAAACTGGCCATGCTGGACTTTAATGAAGCCGAGGAATGTTTCCTTGGGTGTTTGGTGCTGGATAACAAGCCAGAAATGGTTGTTAGAATGAGTACAACAAAGAGGTGGAAACTGAGAATAGAAAAGCCAAGGTTTAATTCAGAGGAATTCTTCAATGGGGTATCTGGCGTTGCAGCTTTCTCAAACAATGAAATAGTTGTGGTAGACCAAAGGAGGGAAAAGTTGATTTCCTTCCCACTCGATGCCCCAAGCACAGAGCAGGACATCCCGTGTCTTGTTCGTCCATGGCGCGTTGCAGTAAACAAGGACAATCAGCTCATTGTCTTGGATCAAGGCAATGTCAAGGTCCTGGATCAGAAATATCAGCTGCTGTGTCAGTTCAAACCTGGTGGAGATGATTTAATTTTCCCAACTTGTCTTGCTGTCGATAACAACAATCTGATAGCAGTGGGTTTTCAGCGTGACAAAATAGCCCTGCACAATCCAGACGGATATATAATCAGAATACTGCCAGCACCAAAGATGGAGCGGTCTATAGCCATCAGCAATCAGCGTGTCATCTACACCAGTTCAGAGGGGCTGCAAGCAGTGGACTACAATGGCACCCGCATTCCAGCTATTGACGACACTGACATTGGCAACCCATCACAAGTGTGTTGCGACAGCGAAGGCGGAATCTTTGTGGCTGTCACCAAGGACCTACACTCAAGTCAGGTTCACTATTACAGTCCAAAAGGCAAGTACCAGGGATGTGTGATCAAGAAATGCCAAACTCCAGATGGGATGATACTCACAAAAGACAATGACCTCATCCTGTTTGGAGAGAAAGCTGTACAAATCTACTCCGGTGTCACCAAGACAAAACACATTACAACATTTTCAGGGGAGAATTCATCAAAACAATATGTTGTTTATTCAGTCCCTCCGTGTACATTTAGAAGCAACGACACTGATATCGCTGATGATGAGTGTGCAGATGATACAATGGGCGCATATTGGGCAGAGTTGTAATGACTCGAGTCAATGACTCGACTCGAGTCCGACTCGAGTCACATTTTTTGGCGACTCGACTCGACTCGAGTCCCGACGGGTAAATGACTCGACTCGACTCGAGTCACTGCGAGCAAATGACTCGACTCGACTCGAGTCCCTCATCAGAATGACTCGACTCGACTCGAGGAAGGCTAATAAGACTCGAGTCCCAAAATAAAAGCAAAACTTACTTGCGAAAAATATTTGCAATGACTTACGCTGCGCCGTTCGCGTTGCCAGTTTTTGTTCACGTCACGTTAATGTTCGCGAATAATGTACGTTTATATACAGCGGCAGTCTGTTTCCTTCCTCCATAATGAAACAACAAACATACACCGTGTTGCGGACTCCCACCTTGTGGTTCTATAGCATGTAATGCTAAACCCGGAACCAGACTTAAAACGCATTTCTCAATTCGTGGTTTCATCATTGGTTTCGGGCGATTTTGAAGTTCTTGGTGGAACGCTGGCTAAATTCATGTCCCGATTTCACACACAAAAATGGATACGGACGGGCCCACCTTTAAATAATCAGAAACAGTTTTGTATAATGCAATTAGGTTTTAACGTTGTCAGCGATCAGCGAACAACAAAATCTAGACCCGAAGCCAAACCAGTTATAAGACCGAAGTTTCACATCTTCTTATCTGTGACGTGAGCTAGCAATGGAAACTGTTGGTTGGGTACCATACAGCATACTTTATGTCTTTGGATTTCCGTAATAGACTGGTGACTTGTATTCTTTCTCTCTTGTGTTTGTTGCTTTTTATTGTAATTAAGTGTTCAAATATTTGTGACTCGAATTGACTCGAGCTAAATACTTGACTCGACTCGACTCGACTCGACCACACTCTGTGACTCGACTCGACTCGACTCGACCTTGTTGACCTAATGACTCGACTCGACTCGAGTCACTTCTTTAAAATTTTTGTGACTCGACTCGAGTCACAAAAATCAGTGACTCGTTACAACTCTGATATTGGGAAACATAAATGCTATAAGATATCATCTATTTGTGTACGTGTAAGTAACATGGAAAATACAAAAGGAATGAGTATGCAACAGTATTTCTTGAAGTCACACACAGTAACTGCATTTATCGGTACAATATAACTTGAAGGTTAGGCTAATCGTATGGAGCTACATGTATGGATCTACATGCTTACTGAAATTAAGAAAATTAAGAAATTATGAAATAAAGGGGTTTTTGCAATGTATCAGTCTTTTTTTGCCATTGGAAAATAGTTCATAAAAAAGTTAATTTGTGAACATTTATTTTCTGTTGGATTATCCAACACTGCGCGTGTAGAACAGATGGCACATGTACAGTACTAGTTCAGCAGATTGGTGATAAGATTTTTCAGAATGATGATAAAAGCATGACAGTTGGCACACAGTCAGAGTACGTCATGGGAAAGATATTTGGCTGTAGGGCCATCCGGCGCAGATTTGTCCTTTGAAAAAAAATATCAAAATTTTCCAAATGGCAGCCATTGCATGTTATCCTATGATTTTTTTCAAAGGACAAATCTGCGATGGCCTTACAGCCAAATATCTTTCCAATCGTATACTCTGACTGTGTGTCAAATTTCATGCTTTTATCATCAAATTAACAATTCCATCATATTGTGCACCAATCTGCCTGACAATACTGGGATATTCAGCGCTGGCTCTATCAAAAACTGCTGCAGAACAAAACGTTTGATTTTTAAGAATTGAGGGAATGGAGTGGAAAAATGTTCATAACTGGTAAGTGAGAAGAAATTCATTAGACCCTAGTCACACTAGAGGCGGAATGAGCCAGAATGCCGTCGGAATGAAAATTCTTTGTATATTTCTGGATGTTCGAAGTGCATTCTAAAACTTCTGACTGCATTCTGAGTGCATTTCAAATATTTGGGCCCATTCTTGTGGCCGGCCCGAATGTTTTGCTCATGCTCAGAACTTTCGAGGTGCATTCGAAGTGGAGAAATATCGAACGGCATTCGAAGTGTATTCTAACTGCACTCTGACTGCATTCTAAATATTCTTACGGCATTCCAACAGCATTCGAAACATTTTAATCGCATTCGAGGGAGAATCGAAAGGCCAAGCCACTTGGCCTGCCAGAATGCGCCTCGAATGAGCCGGAATGCACCTCAAATGCATCTCGAGCTGCATTCTGTTTGAATTCTTTGAATTCGGGCAGCAATCAAAGTGCATTCTAAATATTCTGACTGTATTCTAACAGCATTCTAAATATTCCTACTGTGTTCCAACTACATTCAAGTTGCATTCGAGAGCTAATACACCCGGAATGTGCAAGAATCATTCGAGGCGGGTTCGAAGCGCATGTTAAGTATTCGAACGGCATTCTTACAAAGCTTGGTCAGTTTGAAATTCCCTCCCGAATGTGGCACGAATTTTGAAAATTCTTCATTCCGGCTGATTCTGCTTGATTCCTGCTGATTCTGAATACGTGTGACGGGGGTCTTATACTTGCAAGCATAGATACATACATGCATTTGCTTTATTATTCTTCCTCAAAGAGGTTCCTAATAATACAAATATGCAAACTAAACCATCGATGAGAAAGAACAAAATAAACTGCATGCATATACATACTCTAAGATTACTTTTAACTTTAAATAAACTTGAACATGAATTAAACTGCTGAAAACTGCTCACTGACTGGATTGATTTGAAATATACATATACAAGGGTCTAATATTTTGATCTTAAGAAATCTTCTTTAGAGGCAAACAAAATTTTGTTCACTGCTTGTTTTACCATCGTGTTTAAGGAAGAGAAAGTTTTTGTTTAAATTGATTAGGACTAGTTTTGCATGACATGCTTTCGAAATGAATTGCTTTGCTTTGTTTATTTTTAATGTAGAAATGCTCTTTTACAAACTTTACAATGAGAAAAGAAATTGAATAAAACTTAGCAATTCAACCTGTTGTTTTGATAAGTATTTAGTATCCTTTTTAATGTATTTCAAGTCTAAATCAAACAGATATATGGCAACAGTTTGCCTTTGAAAAATATGTAAAGAGATATAACCAAACTTAGTTTGCAATTTAATATCTCATCTCGTTAATGGTTGCCTTCCTATTTAAAATCTGTTTTAACAGATGTATATGTGTAGTTATAATAATTGTACCTTTAGAAAACGTATCAAAAGATACTTTAATTTTGTTAACATGTTAGTCTTTCATGGTGAATGATTGCTTTCCAAGTCTTATGCATTCCATGTCATAGTGAGAAATGTTAAATGACTAGAACCAAGTACATAACAATTTTGGTTAATTTATTTTTTTTATGTAAAGGTACACATTTAAATTGCCTTACGCCCTGTTACAGAAAGGGCATACAAAGAGTGGGGACTATAAAAAAAAGTGCCAGTTAATTTTGGCAAAATCCGAATGTTGAAATAGAATGTTGAAATTCAATTAAGTAAGTTCTGAGAAACAGGGGGAATAAGGTGGCATGTTTTGTATAGTTAAGAAGTGTTGAGACAAGATTTGCACATTTTGTTTTATGTTATTGAGAATACCACTTAAGAGCAGCAAAAGTGGGGTGGAGTGGGGGAGGGGGAGGGGGAAGTAGCACTAGCATATCCAGCTAGCTATAAATGTGTTGATTAGTTAGCTACAGTTTTGCCACCTAGGGTTGGATGGGGGTGTGGGATGAGGTGGGATGAGGTGGAGCAATAGCAGTTAGCATACTATATTTGTTCTTTGTTTCACACATCTTGGCTAATGCTGAACGAACCAAATAAACATCAGTTAATGATTCTATATGAGTGTATCAGTTACAGTCATGTAGTGTGCCCTATGAGCTCTGTGCACTCCAAAAAAAGGGCGCCCTTTTACCTAACAATGACGTCTTATGGGCGGAACATTTCGCTGGTTGACGCGCACTGTTCCTTGTGTGTGACGCACGTACACCAGGGGATTTGTTCTATTTACACGCAGTGGCCGCGCTTCGCGGAAAATGAATTGCACTTAGGCAAGATGGCGTTGGTCAGTCACACCCCAACTGTACTTCCTTTACCGGTGAGGGGGTGCTTGTGGATTTTGGATTCCAGACGCTCTGTGGTGCAATCTAAGGCAATTTCTGACCACTTTAACCTTTTTTTTGAGCTATCATCATTTAAACATCATTTTCAAGTTTGGAGTCAATTATCTTTTTATATTTTATATTTTATATGAGAAATCCCATGTCGGCGTTAAAGCATGAGAATAACCTGAAATGTTTGAGTCTTACGCTCAATGTGTTAGAGTTGGCAGGGCTGCAGAGGCGGATCCAGGATTTGACCCAATCCCTCCCAAATGTAACCAAAAGCCACTCCCCCCCCCCCTCCCAAACACTATGCATGTATACAGGGAATTTTATTCTTCGCAATTTGTACCAGACACATTTTGGAGCACTGCACATCTGCAAGTTTAACCAGTAGGCCTTATATGTCACTTGATGAACTTTACATAAATCGTCAAAATTAATTCGTCACAATTTAGCCTATCGTAGTGAAAAGTTTTGGACATTTGCTCATCGCATGTCGCCATGCACTACATGTTAAGTTATATGGAATTTAACCATGAATTCTAGTTTTCCTCAGACTTGTACTTGTGTTTTCTTAAAAAGAAGTGGTTTTCTAGCTGAGAAAATAGCAAGGAAGAACCGGTATTGTGCAAGCAAAATTCAGGGAATAATCCGTTGATACTAATATCTTGTTGGAAAATTCCAAAATAATTTCAAGAAAGTTGCCGCCATGAATCAGAGTTTATGAAGGGACGGAAAGTGGGATTTGCTATCAGCATCAACAGGGCTTATGTATTTTTTAGAAAAACATTTTTTTTTGCAACCAGCTTGTGGGGAAGATTTCTGTTTATTTAAGACTTAATTCACAGGTATGGATACCAGTGTATGTACATGATTGAACTGCGGAGCGTATTTGTGTGGGAGTCCCGATATAATAGGACACCGCCATTGTGCATG